GAATGGCTGGTAGTTTCGAACTGCTGACCTTGAGGTTAGCAGCCCAATTTATAACTACTATGCTACCACACCTATGTTGTTGTTGTTGTTAAGTGCCACACACCATAGGACTGAAAAAATAACATCCTCACATTATGTCTGAGAAGAAGATATTAACAAAGGAATAGAATCTTAGAGTTCATTTGAGAAAGAGATGGAAATATTTAAAGAGAAAGAAGCTTCTAATTCTTTATTCCCACCCTCATCCTCAATCTGGAACAATCTATTCAATTGGGTCATTGAACTACCTATTCCTATGGACATGTGGCACCGGGGGTTAGTTAGGGTTGGAATCCAGCCTGGACGATGTTTAACTAAGCCATGGGCTCTGGCACAGTGTGACCTTTATCCAGGGTAGGGGAACTTTTTTTTTTTCTAATTTGGATAAAGGCTACGGTTGGGTTAATTCTAGGTCACTCATTCCTTTTTGAAGCAATTTACAAAACTCCTCTTTACTTTCTAATGTATTCACTTTCTCTGGGATAGAGCAATCTGAAGTTTTAGTATTCAGTTTAGCACACATATCCCTGCTGAGTGTAAAAATCCTATTCAAGGGATCCTTTAAACTTCCTATGAGCTTACGGTATACAAGACTGAATGAAAGGACTAAAGTGGAAGATTCACTTTTTCTGCTTTGAGAGGTAATTTTCATCCCTTAATTAAACCAAAATTCTAAATTCTGAAATACTTGATATCTTTATAAAAATACAGGCAGCCCTTCTTCCCGTGCCCCCAACCCTACAACTCTTCTCCCTTCATTATTCACTGGCCTTGCCTGTTTAAGGGAACAGCGGTTATCAGGCTATGCATGAAAGTCTTTTGAAACTAGCTGTTAATAATAACTAATTTCCAAATTCAACCTGAGAAATTTATTTAGGAAGTTATGTCATGTGGATTCCTGGTGTGGCGCAATAGGATAAACACTGGACGGCTGCTAGCCACAAGGTCAGCAGGTCAAAACCACCAGTACTTCTAGGAAACCCTATAGAAGTGACTTGACAACACTTAACAACAACACGTCATCTAGTACCCACACATATAATGATAGGCGGTGTTTATGGGACAGTTCATTCACATTTATCAGCTATTCTTAACACTTAGCTCATAATCTTGTTAAATTTTCAAAACCCAAGCACCAAACCCACCACAGTGAATTGATTCAGACTCAGCAACCCCATAAGACAGAAGAGAACCGCTCCGGAGGGTTTCCGAACTGTAATCTTTATGGAAGAGGACTGCCACACCTTTCTCCTTTCACACTGCTGACCTTTTGGTAGCAGCAGAGCACTTTAACCACTGCATCACCAGGACTCCTAAATTTGCATAAACCAAACCTATTGCCATCGATTCTGACTCACTGTGACCCTAGGAAGGGTTTCTGAGAATGCAAATCTTTAGGGGAGCAGACAGTTTTATTTATCTCCTGCAGAGGCACTGGTGGGCTTACGTCACAGACCCTATGGTTAGCAGTCCAGTGCTTTATACTACAGTGCTACTGTTGTTGTTAAGTACCATGGAGTTGGTTCTGACTCATAGTGACCCTGCACAGGGTTTCTGAGGCTGTAAATCTTTACGGGAGCAGAAAGCCTCATCTTTCTCCCATGGAACAGCTGGTAGTTTTGAACTGCGCACCTTAAGGTTCGCAGCCCAATTCGTAACCATAGTGCTACTAGGGCTTCTTTAAATTTGCCTTGCAGCCCCAATTAACACTATTTTATAGATGAGGAAACTGAGGCTCAGAGAAGTTGCCACTTGCTCAAATTTATAGAGTAGGAAACCCTAAAACTCTAACTTTAGGGTCTACCTAAGTCTAGCATCTTCCTGCCCACCTACCAACCTACTTATTGATTTTATTATGGTTAAATGGGTGTATTTTTTCCCAAGCAGAATTCAATAATACTTGAGTAGTGTTATGTGACTAGGGTAATATTTAACAAATATTTATGACTTATATTTAAAGCACAGATTGCTGTGACAATATGTGTACTTTTGAATTCTACCTGTGTGACCTTGTTGTTATTGTTACTGTTAAGTGCCGTTAAATCAGATCCAACTCATAGCGAATCTGTGCAGGGTTTCCGAGGAGCGGCTGGTGAGCTTGAACCACCGACCTTGTAGTTCGAACCAACCTTTCAGTCCTGTACATTAGTGCCACACATTAGGTAGGTTACTTATCTCTCCAGATGTCAATTTCACTATCTGTAAAATGACAGTAATACCAATACTTACCTTTTTGGGTTATTGGGGGATTAATTAGTTAATAATTACAAATATGCTACTTGGTGATATTAAGAGTATATACATATTCATGATAATTAGAATCATTACCATATTCTATCATCATCATTGTTATTACTAGTACTACATGCTGGCACTGTTTTTTGGCACAGGGAACATGGCAGTAAACAAAACAGGCACATTTTCTGCTGTAATGAGATCAATAGTCAAAGTCTAGGCCCAACGGCCTCAATTTTAAATATCTCATCCACCTTTTCCATTTGTTTATCAAACCATGTACTATGATTTTTTCTGTAAAATTGGGATAATCATACCTACTCCATAGGTTGTTGTGAAGATGAAATTAATACTTGTTAAATGTTTGGATCTGTGCCTAGCACATAACAACACTCAATATACATTAGTGATTGCAATTAGTGTTGTGGTTTAAAGTTACTGTCTTGATTTTTCTGAGTTTCTATAATTTGTTGCTATAGCAATTTTGCATAAAATTTTCTCACAGCTACTTCGATGGCACTTAACAATAACAACAACTTTGTTTTCATATAGGACTACTTTCAAAGCTATGCTTATTCTTACTGTTATGTAATAGAATGATGGTCGTTCATTGCCACAGAGCCGATTCGGATGCACAGTGACCCTGTAGACAGAGAACTGCTCTATTCCCAAGGGTTTCCAAGGCTGTAAATTTTTGCAGAAGCTGATTGCTACAATATTTCCCTGCAGAGTGGCTGGTGTGTTTAAACCACTGAAGTTTTGGTTAGTAGCAGAATGCTTAAGCCATTTCAACACTAGGGTTTCTCCAACACGATTGTTTCTAATGCAAATATGAAAATTTATTCCCAAGCATAAAAAGAGACAGTTTGAAATGAAAGGAAATATCTATACCATATTAAGTAAATAAGTAACTTTTTTTAAAAAAAACCAAAACAATTAAATTTAGTCTGTTTAATTATAAAGAATTCTATGAATAACACAAAACAGGAATTTTAGAGTAAGACCCATCTGGGTTCATTTTCTACTCTTCCATTACAAAATATGTAACACAGATCAAGTCTCCCCACTTTGAACCTACTGCAAGGTTTGCTGTGAAGATTAAATCAGAGATTTTGGAACCGGGTAAGTTCCCTTTCTTTGTTCATCCTTAATACTATACAATGTAATTTTAACTGTGAATGTGCATGGGTTTTTTTCAAAAATCTTGATTTCTAAATAAAAGAACATCTTAATGAAAGAACAAAAAAAAAGTTGAAGAAATATCAAAACAGTAGCCAAAAAATTAAAATAAAATAATAAGTGGGGCAAAAAATAAATGCCATGTATTAAAAACCAGTGTTTACCTAGAGAATGCATTCATTTAGAAGAAAGGCATTTCCTTCATTGGGAAATTTAGCATGTGTCAAATTGGTGGTGGTGGTGGGGGGAGTGGCACTCAAGGCCACTGAGTCCATCCTGACTCAGAGACCCTGTATAGGGTTTCTGAAGCTGTAAATCCTTTTGGGATCAGAAAGCTCCATCGGAGAAAGATGAGGCTTTCTGGGTTTGAACTGCCAGCTTCGTAAAATCAAACGTTGCAAAAGCAGCATCGGTGACTTTGGGGGAGTGAATTCATCTCTCTTTATTATCCTTAGTTCTAAATGGATTGGTGATCACCTACTTCAAAAAGGCAGTGAAGGCCTTAGGAGAAGCTGCTTCCTAAACTGGGGAAGAGGCTGTGCCTTACAAGCTGAACCCAGAGAATATTCTTCCTGGTTTTAATTACAAATGAAGTTAAGTGTTCTTTAAAATTATACCAGACTCTTAAGGGATGAAAAGGTGTGTGATTTGCTAAGTCTCTTCTTTCTTTTTGTTTAAACTGTGATGCTTTACAGATTACATCTCAGATTTCCTTTAAGGATCCTCAGGTGAGAGGTATAGCGGCTGTGAGACAGGAAGACTGAGTGAGAAGTAGTGTTCTGGTTTGAGAAAGACTAGGCTCCAGAGAGCATGAACTTCAATGTGGGAAAATCTTGGCACTAATCCAGTTCCAGCTACTCTCTGGGTTGGAACCCAGGTCTCAACACTTTGCATGGTTGTTAGACTCATTAGAAAAGATAAGGAATGCATGCGCCTGACAAGGAATATTCCAGAGAAGCTGCCGTGTACCTAAGAGAAGTTACATGTAGGGTAGAAAGTCTGCTACATGACTGGATGACAAAGAAAGTGATCTCATCAAAGTGTGAAGTCACATATGGCTCTAGAAACAGGCTATCCTTTACAGGGAGACAGCACTTAACAAGAACATAATACTACTACAAGGGGCAATGTGTCTCTGTGCTACAAGAAGAGTTGCTGCTAAGAATGATAGAAGGATTTCACATCAACAGTTTACTTATAGCCTCAGGGGATTGACATTTTTGCCTGATTTTTGATAGCAATACAAATAAATATACATGAGCTTGAGGTTTCAAAATAGAAAAAGCATATGGAAACAATTAATAATAGCACTGTAGAATTAGCAGTTCAAACTCACCAGCTGCTCCTCAGAAACCCTATACAAAGTCACACAGTCAGAACTGACTCCACAGCACTCAACAACAATGAGGATAATGGCGTTCTCATGTGGTGCTGGGGGATAAGCACTGGACCATAAGGTCAGTTTGAATCGGCAGTTCAAACCCACCGGCTGCTCCTGGGAAACCCTATACAGGGTTGCTATGAGAAAGAACTGACTCAACAGCACTGCACAACAGCAGCAACAATGGAGATAAATCCTGGATTAAAATACATTTGCTCTATATTCCTTGATACAACAATTCTATTAGGAGAAGAACACAGATATGATTTTTCCCCTCAGTTTTCTGATAAGCCTATTGAGGCTCTGAGGAAGGTCCTTAACTAAATGTACTATTTGTTGTTAAGTGCTGGAATGTTTGTATCAGCTCATAGTCATCCTGTATAGGATTTCCTACGCTGTAAATCTTCTAGGGAGCAGAAAAACCTCATTTTTCTCCCATGGAGCACTTGGTGTGCTCAAACTGCCAACGTTGTGGTTTGCAGTCCAGTGCTCATCCTATGAAGCCACAGCACTTCCAAAATGCACTGTTAGTGTGATCAAAAGATGTGTGCACAGAATCCCTGTTTACATTCCTATATCACATTGACACCTTCTGCAACACAGACTTTCTAATATACTTTGCTCCCTATCTTTCCATTGTCTCCTAGAGGGTCATGTGTTGAAATGTGTTTATTATGGACAGGACTGCTGACCATCTCAAAGAGGAGGTGATGCAAAACCATCTAGTGAATAACTGATGCCAGACAACACTTATCCTTGAATCAGCCAACAACCAAGTAATATCAGTCTCTTTGGTAAATGATTCTGTCTCTACAGTCTCAGTTCTGTTCTTCATGATTTTCACCCTCCACTAGGATAGAGCAACTCATCTCCCTGTCTGCAAATGCTTTCCCATCCTGTTATCTTCCACACAGCTGACAAAGTAATATTTCTGAAAATACAAATCTGATTATGTCTTTACTTTGACTTAAAACTCTTCATCAGTTCCCTACTGCTTACAGGATAAAATCCCAAATTTTCAGCTTGGCAAATAAGGCCTCTATTATCTATATCTAGTTTGTCTCCAGCCTCATGGCCACCTCTTTGCCACAATAACTACTTGCAGTCCCACAATACACCAGGCTTTTATACCCCCTGAGGCTTTACTCTTTGCTGTTCCTTTTACTTAGAACACATTTTTCTTTCTTCTGACTGATGAATTCAATGTCATCCTGATTTAATTCAAGTACCACCCTTCAAAGGAAGCAGAGGCAATTAGGTGATTCCTCCTTTGCTTGCCTTTATAGTCTTACATGTACTTCTATTATTGTATTACTATGTTTGGAAGCTACATCATGATTTGGGATTTACTAATATTGAGATAGTTAAAACATTAAAGACTTGGATAAATTTTCTATTATTTTATAAAGTGAGAAGGCTTTCTTTCTCCCTATGTACTCACGATACTCCCTCAAAATAAAAACAAAAACAAAACCTCACCCTGTCAGAGACAAGTTAGGATCCCTGGGCCCTGGGCCTCCCTTACCCTGGCTTCATATCCACTCCTTGGCCTTGATACCGGGAGGACATTTCTAGTTCAACCAGAATGATAGCACTGAGAAGAATAGCTTGGAGACAGAGATAAGGATATCAGAAACTGAAACCCTAATAGAAGCAGCTGGTCACAGGCAAATGGCCCATGAAGATAGCACCTAAAGTTGACAATTGCAGAAGGCACCCCATTTCCAAGAAACCTGCTCCCCTTTCCTAAAAAATATTGAATATTCAACATACCACTCCTCCTAATAAATATGTATCCGCTCATCCTTAGAGGAAGAGATCCCATACCTTTATAAGACAGTGCACCCCAACCCCAAAAGGTCTTCTCCACTCGAGGAGACAGACCCACTTCTCTCTTTGAAGTGGACTTTTGCTGTGACTTAATCTATGATTCCCAGTTCTACCAGGTCTTCTGCACTCTAGGAGACAGACCCACTTTTCTCTCTGAAGTGGACTTTTGCTTTGCAATAAAGAGCTTCTGAGTGAATGTTTATTGTTCCTGTGTGACTCAGGAGCAGCAACTCGGTGGGACTAATTCTTTAGATCCCCTGAGGGTGAGAGGAACCAGAGAAAAAACGTGACAATCGCCCTAGAGAAAACACCTAAACCAGGTGTTTCTGAGTCCATTCCAGTTCCTGGTAACCCCTTGCATGTAAAATAGATCCGTGATCCTTAGTACATTGAATGACTGACTTTTCAGAACTAGGTCACTAGACTTTTTTTCTGAGGTGCCTCTGGGTAGACTTAACCCACCACCCTTGTGGTTACCAGTCAAGCATGTTAAGTGACAACCAAAATTTCTGGCCTGTGGTTGAGACCCTGTGAGATAAAGATCTGCCTGTGTCCCAAACCAGCACTGCCTTGGACTGCTAACTTTATGATTTCAAGAAAGAGAAATGAATTACAGCTGCAGATTTTCTTAGCCTTGCGTAGAATACTTTGAAGCAACTCTAAGCTCACAGACCTCTGAGAAGGTGATTTTAACATTTCCTTAGTGAGTATTTCTTATAGGGAATTGGTGAGACAAGATGTCTGTGGGAGACATCCCTTGTGTATGTTCACACCTCAGCAGGAAGGACAGTATAAGATTATCCTTGCTTTCATCACCACCTTTATACTCGTCTGATTATATTCACCCAGAGATTAGTCACACTGGTGAAACTGAGGCAGTTAAGCAGATAAACATCATTATGCACAGTAATTCTTCATTTCCATGCCTTTGACCCCCTTAAGGGTAGGTGGTGGGGGTGGTGTGCCGTGGAGTCAGTTCCGACTCATAGTGACCCTGTACAGGGTTTCCGAGGCTGTAAATATTTATGGGAGCAGAAAGCCTCATCTTTCTCCCATGGAACAGCTGGTAGTTTTGAACTGCTGACCTGGGGGTTAGCAACCTGACTCGTAACCACAACACTAAGGGTAGAGACATGTCTTATTTACCTGAATTCCTAGCTTCTAGGATAATTTCCAACATCAAGGAGAAGTCTCATGAATATGTACTTGTCAAGGAGAGGAGAACCTGGTTTGTGATCATACAGTGTGGGGTGTGAGTTTCAAAGAATCATGAGAAAATTCTATTATCTTTTAATTCCATTTTTTTAAATAATTTTTTGAATCCCCCTTGTAAAATGTCAGAAACCATTTCCTCCCAAATCTGCCAACACATTCTAATTGTCCTTCATCTTTTTTAGATCAGCCTGTTTATCAGTTGCAAAATAACAATAATTAGGGATATCTATGTTAGAGGGCAGATGAAAACATGCCATCTGTGTTGAGAAAACAGCCAAGAATACTATTCTTCTTGCCCTAGGATAATCAAAAGCAGAATCACTTACCATGCTCTCAAAGTAGAAAAACCAATTACAACATCAAAAATGACTTTAAATTAAAAGAAAAAAAAAAAAAGAGAGAGAGAGAGACAATGAGACATGCACTGGATAAGTTAGGAGCCCTACAGCAATCTTGTTTGCTTTTCATAGAACTCTGAATTTTAGTTTGATTCCAGGCTCTAGCCCATTTTTTTGCCTTTGCAAGGTCTAAAAATCTATTACTCTAAATATCGTCGGCAGCTTTAGGAACTGGCATTTTGACAAGTGACTTAAAGTGCTTTCCTAAGGAAAACGTAAAGTTTGTTGTCTTTTAGATGATATTACAGAAGTGAATTGTGTATACAATGAATTTATCCCTGGATGAGTATTCATGCAGAAATTCAGGCTACTGACTCTAATTGTTTTTGCTGACTTGCTACCATTCTTTTGAATGTCATTTAGGGAGTAAATTGGTTCATATGTAAGGTGGTAGCATATGATAGCTCATATTCTAATCTGAGGCAATTACTTGATCAATATATGCATATTTCTAATATGGAATGGAAATCCCCATATGCTGTGAAAAATACACATACCACAACATAAACGTTAGGCACTACTTCAACATTTTTGATTGACTTTTTCACTTGTACCTTTATAAAATGTCCTAACACAGTAATTGTCAGTAGTTGATGAAGCTTGGTTGAATTAATTGATGAATACTTAAGTATGATATCATCTTTTAGGACATAAGATGCCAGGATATTTTTATTTTATTATGAGCAGATGTGAGACATGGACTCATGAGCAAATCCTAACTGGTGTTGGAGCAGAATTTGTCTGTCTAATTCTAAGGTCTTATCTACCTCTGTGATTCCATGACATACTCAGTCACAGTAATAAAAAGCAAGAGATGGTGTCATAAATGCAACCTAGGTCTCTTGAATTGAGTCCCAGAATTATTAGCTGCATTTCAAGAAATATTTATTCAGAGAGATATTTTCCTTTGGAAGAAAGTAAATAATCTTTTGAATTAATTGCTCAGTCTTCAAGAAGATTTGATAGCTACCTTATCGAAGCTATAATGTGGACATTCACCAACAAGATAACTGAAGATGAGAGTTGAAAATATAAAGTGAGCTCCAGTCTAATGTTATTTGTTTCCAAACATGAATTCCTTCATTCATGGAATTGTTTCATATATCTACTAAAAACTGGCTAAAGCACAGCATGAGTTATGACCTGCTCCTGAAACACATATCTGCCTGGATATCTGCAAAACTTCTTACAATGTTGATTTATGCATTCAGTAATTCTGAGTTCCGACTGGGCCAGGCACTATGCTATAAAAATTAGGGATATAAAAGTGTACAAAACAGACATGATTCCATTCATTGAATTTACAGCATAGGGTGTGAGGCAGGAATTGAGTTTAAATGTCAAATAAATCAATGTACAAATCACAAATCACTGGAATTTATAGAAAAAAAAGTGTATATAAGAGGTGACAAAATTTCTCTTTCAGGGGTTTCAATGAGAATATGCCATTTTAACTTAGATCTAGGATGACCAGAATTTCACAAGGCAAAATATAAGAAGAGCTTAGAGGAAGAGAGCAGAGCATGTATGAAGATGAGACAGGAAGAGATTGTGGTCAGCCAAGAGAAGAGTAAGCTGAGGTAATGTTTAAGAAACAGGCAGGGGCTAGCTCATGCAGCTGGATACTAGGTTAATGGTTTGCATGTTATGCTACACAAAAGGGTAGAAATAAGATCTGATCAGTATTCTAACAGATCATCTTCATTGCACTGAGGAGACTAACTCAAGAGAACAAGAGTGGAAGTAGTAAGATCAGCTAGGAGACTATTGGAGGCGGGGAATGACAAGGTTTGGATCCAAGCAGCATGGATAGAAATAGAGAAAAAAGAACATATGTGATTTATAGTCAATATGGTTGTTGGTGGTTACGTACTATGAAGTAGGTTCTGACTCACAGAGACCCTGCCTGTAAAGGGTTTTTGAGTTTGTAAATCTTTACAGGAGCATAAAGCTTCATCATTCTCCCATGGAGTGGCGGGTATATTTGAATTTTTGACCCTATGGTTAGCAGCTCAGCTCATAATCCACTACGCTACCAGAGCTTCATATATATATATATACATATATATATTTTTTTTCCTCCTAGAAATGATATATATATAAATGTACTGAGCAAGAGGAAAAGAGGAACATAGACAAGAAAGCAGGATAAAAGCAGAGAAGGAATAGAAAAAGAGAGAAAGGGGTGGAGATCTTTTCCAGAGAGCAAGCATAGATCTGCCATCATGCCTATTGTGAGGCACATATAAATAGTCTTACAGGTGATCGCTTGCCTGGGTTTGAATCCCAACTTTGCCACTTGAAAGTAATGATCTTGGATCTGTCATATTACTTCTCAAGCCTTTACTTTCTCTTTTGTAAACACAAAGACATTGATAATGTTTTCTTAGATGGTTTTGTGAAGATTAAAAGGAGACCTAGTGGTACAGTGGTTAAAGAGCTTGTGTGCTAATTGGAAAGTCAGTGGTTCAAACTCAGCAGTCACTCTGAGGGAGAAAGAGGTGTCAATCTACTTCTATGTTGATTATTGTCTCGGAAATCCTATGGGGCAGTTCCACTCTGTCCAGTAAGTATGCTCTGGTGGTGGCGGTGTGCCATGGAGTTGGCTTCAACTCAAAGTGACCTTGCATAGGTTTCTGAGGCTGTAAATCTTTACAGGAGCAGAAGGCCTCAACTTTCTCTCAAGGAATGGCTGGTAGTTTTGAACTGCTGACCTTGAGATTAGCAACCCGACTCATAACCACTACACTACTAGAGCTCCTTAAGGTTGCTGTAAACCAACTCAAATGGCAATGGATTTGGCTTGATTTTGGGTTGTGAGGACTAAAAAAATAATTCATAAAAAGTGCTTAAGAAAATATCTGGTACAAGGAAAGCTGTCCTTACGTAGCTGGCTACAGATGCTTAATTACTAGGAAGTCATCATGTAGCTGTGTGCGTCTTCACACTTCCCTACGGCTACAGTTACTCTGCCTACATGGCTTCAAAATTATGTAGTTCACATATCAATAAATCATTTTTATGTTACATTAAAAATATAGAAGGATTTAATTAATATTTTAAAAGCATCCTGCTTTAAATTCTGCTTTTTTTTATTAGGCTTTAATAGTTGCAAATTAGTGAAAATGACCCAGCTGATTCCAAAGCCTAAAATGTTTTCTCATTTATTTCCAGATATGTTAGATACAAATTTAAATTTTGTAATTGACTTTCCCTAGAGAGTCTAGTAATTGACTTATATATGCATCCTTTGAGATAATACAAAAAGAGCGATGGTGATGTTCAAAGCCCCATTTTCATTTAGGATCTTTCCAAAATCTGTGTTTTCTCAGGTCTAACTCCTCTCCAGAGTCCTAGTATGGTGCTGTAGGTTAATGCGCTGGACTGCAAAGTGGGTTTGATTCACAAGGTTGGTGGTTCAAGCTCACCAGCTGCTTGTTGGAAACCCTATGGATCAGAACCAATTGGACGGCAACAGCAATATTATAAGGATACATAAAAATATTCAGTCTAAAAGCATAACTATATAAGTACCCTACAATGTATAGGAACAGGATAACTGGAATTTCTCAATTTAGACTGAATCGGATTTATCCTATGAAACAACTACATTCTATTTTTCTAACTTTCCTCTTTTTCTGACTCTAGCTATTACGTGAAGATAGGGTTTTACTATTTACCACACACATGCTTTAGATATTAATGATAAATGATGCCCAACCTTTAGACTTATAACAATTTGTTTACAAAGATGTAAAAAGACTGTTCATGTTCTACAATCAAATATGTACTAAACATTAATAAATAATGTTATGGAGAAGGCAGCTTCTGTTTTCTTAAATAAAATGAGAGTAATTAATAGAATATGTAAACATCTAGCATAATAACATAGTATAAAGGTTAAGATTATGTTCTTTGTGGTTGTTTTTGTTAAGTGCCATCAAGTTAGTTCTGACCCAAAGTGACCCTGTATATAATTTCTGAGGAGTGGCTGGTGAGCTTGAACCACTGGCCTGAAGTTCAAACCGACTTTGCAGTCCAGTGCATTAGCCCACAGAGCCACAACAGGACTCCAGTTCTTTGTGATGAGAACAAATTGATTCTATAGTTTTAGACAAGTTGCTTAATACTTCAAGGAGTCAGTTGTGTCATGTATTAAATTGTGATGACAGTATGTACTTCTATGAAACTTATCTGAGTATATGCTGAGGTATCATATATCATTTGCTTATTAGTGAGGTTTTAGTGAGAAATGCATCAGAATCTCCAATAAGGTTGAAGGAAAGTAAGTGTTTATGAAATATTATTCCAAAGATTTCTCTTTTATGTTTCCATATGAGGAAAGATGGTGCTAATTATATTCCAAAATTAATTTTTTTCTGTAAGAATAAAATGCATATCTTATTAAGATAGATAGGAACCAAGAATATTCAGAGCATCATGTGACCATATTTGATTGCGCTGTGATCCCAAAGGAAAACAGAATAAGGAGGGGATAATATTTTTTAATTTCTCCCAAAGGAGACCAAAGCAAAAGACTATCTCTCCATCTTGAGGAGCATGTTAAGTGAAAGAGAAGTGAGCAGAGGTGGATTTTACCCATTCATTCATGTAGCAGCACATGCAATTTGAGAAGATAAAGCAAGGAAGCACACGAAGTACCTGGTCATCTCAGAGTCAGGGAGCAGGCCTAGGTGGTAGTGAGGGTAGGGAGCTGAGAGAAGGAAACTTTTTTCACACTCAACAGGGGAATAGTGCCTGGGAGAAGCAGGCTTATCACACAGTTTGTTCACAGTGCTGTAAACCGGTTCCGGAGGCCTGGTGATAAAACAAAAAAAAAAAAAAACAAAGGAAGAGAAAGACAGGCACGGTTAGTACACACACCATATGCAAAAGTAAAATTTCAAAATGATGCCATAGGCTTTATAAGGCTTGAGTTAAAATTGTTGTTGTTAAATGCTATTGAGTCAGCTTTTGAGGAGTAGTTGGTGGGTTCGAACTGCCGACCTTGTGGTCAGTTCAAACTGCTGAACTTATCCTACAGCATCAAACCAGGACTCCCATTAAGATTAGGTTAATCTTTTGAGGAAATAGGATCTCTAGTTAGAAAATAGAATTTGGGCTGACATTTGAATGACTAAAGTCTATATGCTAGATACATCAATATAGTCATAGTTAGACAATAAATGCCATTCTTATTTGGACAATCTAGTCTGAAGTGTAACATTTTTAGATCCTCTGACATGGCTCTTTCTCCAACTTTACTCTAATTAGCTCTTTAGTGCTAACTTCAAAGAAATCTTCCTTAACCACCTTGGACAGAACACTCTGTTATTTATCACAGCAGACTGTTTATATTTCATAATACTTTCCTCAGCATGAAATGGCATTTTTGTCTGTTTGTTCAATTTAATATTATCTTACACTTTCATTGCACCATGAATATCACGAGGGCTTTTTTTAAGTGTCATTGAGTCAGCTCCAACACATAGCGACCCTGTAGAGGATTTGTGATAAGTGACTAGTGAGCTTGAACCAATAACCTTGTGGTTCAAACTGACTTTGAAGTACAGCTCATTAACCCCCAGAGTCACACCATGATTCTTATCTTGTTAACCACTTAAAATAAAGCTTAGCATAAAGTAGACATTCCATTAATATTTGTTGTGTACATATATAAGTAAATGAATGAATTAGACTTCCTGTATTTTTATTTCATTTCTTTTGGGGAGTAGAGTGGAGAAGGAAGAAGGTTGGTCCAAGATAGAAATATAATAGTTTACATGATTGAATGACTATTCCCTATATCTGCACACAGATTGGCCCTCAAGAATTTATTTCAGGGAGTTTTCTATGAAGAGGAAATCATATTTTAGTACAATGTCTATTTAAAAAGGAATACTGACACTTTTTTTAAACAGCCATTTTACTATTGCTGCTAAGTGTTGTTGAGTTGATTACAACTCACAGCAATCATGTATAGAGTTTCCGAGGAGTGGCTGGTAGATTTGAACCACCAATCTTGCACTTATAGTCCAGTACTTATCCTACAGTGTCATACCAGGATAGCTGTTACTTATATACACTGTATGATCAGGTAAACTTTATATCATTTTCAATTAAAGAACTACCTTCTCAAAAGTCTTCATCTGTTAAAAACAAACAGACAAACAAACTACCTTTTTAATGCTAGTCTGATGTTTTTAAGATAAGAATTGACCATGTTGAACTGAAGTGGAAGAATCATCTAGTAGACTGGGCAGATGAAGGAACTTAAGCTTGATTAGAAAGGTAAGGAGCAGGAAGGTCACAAAGCATGGCAATGCCTGCAGGGTCCATATCCACAGGAAAGTAACCTCAACCTGTTGGGGACCAACTGACATCATGAGCAGCAAGTGTTTCTACAAGACACAGGGAGTGTAGGTGGTAAACTCAGGACATAGTTCATGTTTAATTTCTTCCTGAACCTCTAGTCCTCAATATTGTTATTGATGTCAAGTGCCACTGAGTTTGTTTCAACTCAGAGCAACTTGTATATAGGCATAAAAAGTATGTGATGCTGTATTGTTCAGTGCCATCAGGTTAGCAGTCTAGTGCTTATCCTATAGCGTCACCCCAGGACTCCAAGAATATTGAGTAGCAGGTACTCAATAAATGCGTTGCGAACTGGTAGAAGAAGGGAAGCAGGCAGTAAAAGAGGACTGTTGTGAAGTGCTGTGGAGTAAATTCTGATCTATAGCAACCCTGTACAGGGTTCCCGGGGTACAGCTGGTAAGCTTGAACCACCGACCTTACAATTCAAATGGCTTTGCAGTCTGACACATTAACCCACAGTGCCACATCAGGATTCCATAAAAGAGGGCAAGCAGGGCATTAAACACAAATTTTACCTAATTTACAATATTACTATGAGCCATCATACCTTTAACACAGTTTAATGAATTGTAGTATTCCCTAACACAAAACTTTCTATCATATTGAAAGAGATACCTTGATCTATTTACCTTGTACAACAAATACAGGGGCTGAGGAAGAATATAGAGGCCTGTTTTGTACTCAAGAATCATTACCTCAGTGGTCAAAGGAAATACTTTACAACTGAGTTGGTTTTTTGGGATTACAGTGGCTACTAAAGTAGCACTTATAGAAAGAATTTAAGGTTTCTTAAATGCAATATCCAAAATTTTTCTTACATTAGGGAAGCTGATATATTTCTCAATTAAGACCAGTGTTCCACTTTCAGAAAAGAATTAATGAGTATTAAAATTTCTGTTAATCAATTCTACCCGCACCAGCTGCTATTGAGTCAGTGATGACTATTAGCAACTCCGTAGGTGTCAGAGTGGAACTGTGCTCCACAGGATTTTCAATAGATGATATTTTTTGGGAGTAGATCATCTGGTTTTTCTTCTATGGCAACTCTGATGGACTCAGACCTCCAACGCTCGATTAGCAGCTGAACTTATTAACTGTGCACTACCCAAGGACTCCTCATTAATATTCACACATCCAGTTAATAATGGTAAGTAATAACTCTTTTAAAAGGCAGTTGTGAAAATCAATCTTGAAAATGAATCTCTTAAAATCACTTTTTATAATTGATTTGTACAATGTAATGAGGAGAGTGCTTTCAGTTAGCCTCTGATATACATCTTTCCCCCCATAAAACAGCTATATTACTTTTAAATCTGACATCAAAATCATACACAGAGATAAAACAGATAAATGGAGTCTCATCACAATGAGGACCTTGTGTACATCAAAATACTTCATCAATAAAGTGAAAAGGTAACTATAGATTGGGAAAGAATTGGGCAACCATATTTAGATAAGGGCTTGATATTTATAACATATAAAGAACTCATACAACTTAATAACAGAAAAAACAATATAATAGAAAAGAGGACAAAGACCTGAATAGATATTTCGCCAAAGAGGATAAACAAATGGTCAATAGTCACATCAAAAATATTCACCATTATTTGCCTCCTGTTCTGTTGTTAAGTAATGTGGAATCAGTTCCAATTCATAGTGACCCATTTACAACTGTACAATAGAATGAAATACTGCCTCAACTTAGGGAGATGCCAATCTAAACCACAGTGAGATATGACTTCATCTCTAGTAGGATGACTTGTTGTTGTTGTTAAGTGATATTAAGTTGGTTCCTATTCATAGCAACCCTGTATAGGTTTTCGAGGAGCAGCTGGTGGGTTTGAACCACTGACCTTGTGGTTCAAACTGACCTTTCTATCCAGCACATTATCCTGCAGTGCCATACCAGAAAGATGGCTTAGATTACAAAATAATGATAATGATGGTGGTGGTGGTGTGCTGTGGGGTTGGTTCTGACTCATAGCAACCCTGTAATAGGTTTCTGAGGCTGTAAATCTTTATGGGAGCAGAAATCTTTCTTGCTGGTAGTTTCAAACTGCTGACCTTGAGGTTAGCAGCCCAACTCCTAACCACTAAGCTACCAGAGGTCCTAATAATAATAAACAGAAAATGAAAAATGAAAATACTGGTGAGGATGTGGAGAAACTGGAAATCTCATCTGATGCTGATGAGAATTCAAGATGTTACAATCACTTTGAAAAACAGCTTGATGCTTACTCAAAAAATTAAAACATAGAGCTACCATGTAACTCAATGATTTTGCTTTAAGATATCATATACCACAAGATTTGAAAGTAGCAATATAGTCGGATACTTGTACACAAGTGTCTATTTCAGCATGAATCACATTAGCTGAAAATGAAAAAGATCCAATGCCTATCAACAAATGAATGGTTAAACAAAATATGGTATATGCATACAATGGAATATTATTCTGCCATAAAGAATAAAGAGCTCCTAATCTGCGAACCTTAAGGTCAGCGGTTTGAAACTACCAGCTGCTCCGAGGGAGAAAGATGAGGCTTTCTACTCCCGTAAAGATTTACACCCTCGGAAACCCTGTACAGGGTCGCTATGGGTCGGACCCGACTCGATGGCACATAACAACAACAACAACAATACATGCTACAATGTGGATGAACCTTGAGAATTATTCTGAGTGACATAAGTCAACCACAAAAGCATAAATCTTGTATGAACTTACTAATATGGAATACCTAAAATACTCATTAGATTGTAAATGTAATACAAAGAAATAATCATGGACAAGGTCTATAAGGTGCTAATATATTTAATTATATTATAGCTCCATCTAATGCATCTGTATACACAGAAAAATATAAAGAATGATATTGTTTGACTATATAATTTAGAAAACCTGTGACTATAGGCATTTTTATTGTAAAAGATTATATATATATGTAGTGGAAGCTGATTTAAACTTCTAAGCCCAAAACCTGAAAAGAAAGAAGCCAGTGATTGCTTTTGGGTCATAAAACATTTTCATGGTAATGCCATTTTAGTAGCATTGTACTTTTTGCCTAGGAGGGCTGATTGAATTTTCTCAGTCTGATATTGACTCCACAGATCAAGAAAATGATGTTATCAATTTTCCCTTTGTCCTTTTACCTTAGTGGCACTGTATTTTGAGGCAAATTTTCTGAATCAAAGCTGGCTAACACACATCTCAAAAAAAAAAAAAATCCCATTTATATAGTATTCAACTAAATTAAGGGAAATAATTTTACTCTTTGAGCACTATAATAAATTCAAGACAAGAAAAATGAGGCACTCTGGTATATCCAGTGTCAAACCCTTGAAATTTTTATCTGTGAATATTCTGGAACCATTTCATGGAAGAAGTATCATTTCATGAATCACATTATTTAGCTGATTTGGTATTTGGAGAAATTTTAGTACAT